GTAGTCAACATACAGTCACAGTAGGTTACATTTTAGCAACACACTATGTTAATATCAACATTACTCGAATATGCTTCTACTTCCTGTACGTTTCACTATAAACAAAGATCTGTAATGAATTACTAGTAAACGTAAGTTCTGTATTACTATTGTGAATGTTCGTCCCAAACATTTATATATTGGATAATGTTTAAATTATGTATTAAAGTTTTAAGATGTTATTTGTTAAAATTTTTTTATCTTTATTCAACCGTGAGAATTTTTATGGAATCCTATCGGTTGCAATTCGATTCAGCAAATTATCAAATAACAAAGTAATCGTATTACAGACAAACAATTATAGGGGAATGAGTAATAATATTCTAGCAGGAACATTAAAGCAGACAAAACGTCTCCAACTAATCCTCTTCAAAGAAAACCTATTAATATTTTAATGTTCACAAAAATATAATAAAATGGAGTATCAGTCGCGAGGACAGACGACGGTTTGAGTGCTGTTAGTAACAATAAAAAAGCGCGACAAAAACGTTCGTTACTGTAGCCGCATGAAAGTGTCCGGATGAATATTATCTATATTTTGGGAATGACTTATCGCAATAAAAATATGGCTGCCCATGATGGATGCGGGGATAGTTGACAGTGTATGTATGTATGTACGTACGGCGGCCGGGGCTATCGCGTGACCCGCGGCACCCATGTCAACTGTTGCCATCTGATATCGAGATCTCTGTTGTTTCCAAATATATCGCCTCCCAAATAGATCGTAGTTCCGCGGTTGTTACAACTCAATTCATAATTGATACGACTTTTAACAAATTTAAATCTATATTTTTTTTTATGCAACTTAGAATGGTACCACAGACATAACAGAGTATACTGTTTCGCCCATGATACCCCCCATAAGTTGCTATTCCTGAGGACTCAGGTGTTATTCCTCTGTACCGTGTTAATTCACTGCCATATCGCACCCTTCAAACCGAATCACAGCCATGCAAACATAACTGCTTCACTGTAGAAACACGAATGGGACAGAGGTGGTCAAGCAATCGACTTTGTATAAATTCTATAGTTTCATTTAATCAGCTTAATAACCGCATGGACATGTATTATCGCAAATACCTATTTATAGATTATAAATGTACAAATCTAGTATATTACTGTAGTCTAACTATGTATTGTATACATAGTACTGTAGTTTTAATCATTTTTCATCCTAATACTTATATATATTATGAATACGCGTGTCGTGGCGGCCTTTAATTAAGGCAGCATTTTATAATGTTAACCATATTATCATGTATTAAATAGAAATAAATGTATGTTTTTTTGATTGTCCTTAAATAAATAATAAATTCTATCGAACATAACTTTGATTTTGCGGATATCACTCTTACACGGACTTATATTATATTTACAATTACTGTTATAAAGTCGATTGCTTGGGTACCTCTGTCCCGCTCAGACTGCGGAATGAGCTCCCTGCCGAGGTTTTCCCTAGGGACTACAGTATGGGGTTTTTCAAAAAGTGTATACTAAAGTTTTTTCAGGATCGGCAACGCGCACGTGGCACCCCTAGCGTTGCAGGCGTCCATAGACTACAGTGACCTTTTACTATCAGACGAATTAACATATTTTTGGTAATTCTACTGTAACATATATAATAATAAATATGTATATCGAGAGAGACTTTTAAAGTTAAAGACAATAATAACCATGATCCAAATAATAAAGGAGTAAATTAAAAAAATATACGATTTAAAAGTGCTTGTAAACAAGTCTATTTGAGTAAAGATGATTTGAAGTTTTTTTCTTTTTTTTTTTTTGTAATCGATACTTTCTCACAATTACACTATATTTATTTTGTTTTGGTGTTTTTTTTTCCATACTTGTCAGCCACACCATGCTTCATAACGTACAGGCGAAGTACGACTGTGTATAAGTATACATCAGAAGTCTTCTTCTGATATACTAACATAAATGAAAAATTTAAAAATGGTACAAGTTTTTAAGTTTTTCATAATAATTTTAACAATACAAAGTAAACCGAAGTTAAGTACTTTGTTATTGTTGCAATTGTATTTTATATTGTAATTGAAAAAAATGACACAGCTATTTGGGATAGGCGACTTTATAGGGTCACTGTCAATAGGTGCCTACAATAACAAAGTCTGATGATTACGCGCCGCCCTCGCGCTCCTATCGACGGTTCATACACTGAACTGAAATAACAGTCGGTCGAATTTATTTTTAAGAAAGTATCTCACATACGGGTTACGAATATTTCTTACTAGTTATTTATTTATTTATTCATTAAAAATAATTACAACATTATGACAGCAGAAGCCATATCAATGTTATAAACCTAGTGTGCTAACATTAAAAATTATAATAAAACTATTTAACCCGAGCCCAAATATTTCTGAGCCATTTCTAATATCTTTGACAAGTTAATACTAAAACTATCAATGATGTTTATAATATTATTTAATAACTGTACTGCATGAGTTAAGGGAGCGTGCTGAAGTAGGTTAGTTATTATCCGCGGCTTTGCCCGTGTAAATAAATACATAAAGTATGTTATTTATTTTTTCTCAATTCTTTATTGTACATAAAACATAATGTTAAGCACAATTCATTTTAAACATAATGTAAAAAGACGATAAGAGACCTAATCTAATAAGAGGTCTCTTCCAGCAAACCTTTTCATGTGAATTGGATGTTATTTTACGTTATGTTATGTTACGTTACGATATAATTTGCCTATGTGCCAAATTTCATTCGATTCTGTTCAGTAGTTTTATTGTAAAAGAGTAATAATCATCCATATATATATATATATATATATATATATATATATATATATATATATATATTTCTAATAGGATAATGCCAACAGCTAGTTTTATCAAAATACGATATTTTAAATGACAATGGAACTCATATCCAAAGCTATAGCGTGGTTTGGTAGGAGTAAACGGAGACAGACGCGAACAGCGACGTGGATATTGATTAAATATGATTAAAAAAACTATTTCAAATAGAAATAAAAGGTACATGAAATCTTTTAATTTAGTCGAACAGAAGAATATAGAAATATTAGACGAATATTTCTAAAATAAAATAAGAAATATTTTAATGTAAGATTTCAAAACGAGAGAGTTTCTCAATTCGATAGTATTTTGTTACGTGTGTTACCTCATGACTGCATCAGTAATCAGTTGTAACCGTCGTACATTAGGTAAATTATTTTTTTTATCTGAAACCGATACACTTACAGATTTATCCCATAAAATTTCTACCAAAATTGATACAGTACTTTAGTTTTTTAAATCAAAATAACTGATTATGCGACAATTAAAGTCGGTTTTTTTTATGAAATACAAACTGAAATTAGTGGAGAAAGTTCGACCAGTTTCGGTACTATCCCTTAGTCGCGCCGTGCGCGCGCCTCGGTTTATCCGGTATGTTAAGAACATACCGGATTTAAAATATAATGTGCATTTATGAAGCCTATTACTTTTTTTAAAATAATTCTATTTATACATATAAATCTAAATTTTTTCACAATTTGATAAAAGTACGTACGTAATTATGTACTATAAAGATTTTACAATACATTACAATATGTAACGACACATTGCACAAAAATAAAATGAAATTAAATTGCATATCATATACATGACATAAGGTCTACTCTAAGCAAACTAGCTTCTAAACACAAACGTACCTATTTCATAGAAAAATCACATTCCCTTTAAACTTAATCTTGCTGATTGCTCTGTGTGAGTCATAGATTGCTATTTGCTCTTCTATTACAGTATTTTTTTTTATATTTACTATATTTTCTAATGTATTACATGTATATATTTATTTATTTAATATATTATATGTATATTTATATTTCTTTTATATGAATATATTAAGTATTGCTTTATTTCTCAATCTTTTCAATAATGCACCGCCTACGTATTTCTGTTTGCCCAATGGTTGACTGGTAGAGAACACCGTCCGGTGTTAAGTCCGCCAAATGTGCATAGAATTTTACTGTGTATTGAAGTTTAAATAAACAAAAACCAATTAAATATCATCATTTTTAAAGTCTATTCAAATTATGTAGCTGTAGGTTGTATGTAATGAGTCACTTCCATGAACTTGGGCCGGACTTCGCACCAATGCTTTTTATGTAATGAAACGACATAATTTGTAATGAAATTAATAGGTACTCTCGCGTTGTATTATTTCGAAATTAATAAAAGTAATTCATTATCGTATCTCGATGTTTAATCCTAGATAAATAGTCATAGAACCTACGGGAACCTGGATGATTGCATTGATCTTAGTGATTTTCTATAAAATCGCATAGTTATATTCTGACACATTTTGGACAATAATGTACATCGATTTTCACACACCATTCTTTGTAATATTCAATGTTGCCAATATTGGCGTCAGTCATATATCAATAAAATGTATTAAAACAATGTTAAATACTATAACTATAGTCTGTTACAATGGATCATAATGAAAAAAGTAAGCAAATTTTGTTAAAATTATCACAAAATCACTCTCTGTATTAAATTACAAATATAAATATTCATTCAATTAGTCGATTATTTATTTGTACTAAAATAAAATTTGACTATCTCATGGTTGGGTTAATTAACCGTGTCTTTTTTGTTAACCATTTTAGTAAATACACATTATATTTAAATGTAAAAAACCACCGGATTAAATAACGTGTATTTTAGCTAAGAATGCTCCACTAATTGATCTAGTCACAGCCTCTCATGACTAAGGGTCCGGATGATCCCAAAACTACTTTAGCTTTAGCATTCGTCAAACACGTAAATTAATCCGTCTGTTCTTATAAAAAAAAATCGTTTGTTTACATTTTCATTAAGTTCCATTGAAACAGACTATATTGCTCAGTATCCAAGTATCTCACTTGAGTACGGAGAATCGATTATAACTCCAGTAAAACATGCTAGCTAAGTACTTACTGGCTGAGAGACTGGCAGCGGCTGACAATTGCGGCCGACGACCGTTGTCCATGCCCCACACGTCCTGGAATATTAATATTATTAAAATTAAAAAAAAAAACATATATACATACATCAACCTTAATTTAATAGGTGAGGTTTCTTCAGGGTCGGCAACGCGCACGTGACACCCCTAGTGTTGCAGGCGTCCACAGGCTACAGTGATCGTTTACCATCAGATGGGCCGTATGCATGTTTGCCACTTATGTAGTATAAAAAAATAGGTATATCACAATAGATATAGATGGGCACCAACCAATTCTAGTGTAGATATGGCCCAACTTCCCCCTTCCTCCTAAATACTCCTTTGAATGTATTTATAAAAAAAAATCTACAACCTGCATGTGTATTTTTGAATCCACATGTATATTATTGATCAATATCGAAGGCAAATTATATAAGGAAGGTAACTAAGTACTAATATGTGTAGCAGCAGAGATTAACGGCCTCGTTGTTACTATGGCCGGGCGACCTCCACGGGGTTGCTTCTGAAAACTATCGTGGTAAATTCTTGGTGAATTCATCACGATAGGCCAATCGACCTAACTTCATTCTTACTCGGAAAGGGATTGTACGCAATGGAGTTTAACAGCCCCATTGTTAGTAATATGCCCTATCAGGTCGACCTCCACGCGATTCCCCCTGGAAACCATCATGAACAATTCTCGTCGAATCCGTCACGATGGGCTAACTGACCTACTTCATCCTCACCTATCATCCCTCACTGGTGCTCCGCCGGTGTATACCAATAGCGCGGGTGGGGTTACCATTCCATTATAACCCATAAAAAAAACACTCACCAGTAGGTATATATAACAATGATCATACAAAATTTTTTTCATGTGACTTGTAAATATGATTATTACCTGTGCGTACGCGTTGGCTGCCAGCGCCGGCGCGCCGTACACGGTGGAGGGGCGCGACGTGGCGCACGCGAACGCTCCGCCGAAGCGCGCGCTGAAGGCGGGCAGCGCGCCGCCGCCAGCATCAGCCGCGCCGGCCGCGCCGGCCGCGCCGCCAGCGCCGCCGGCGCCGCCGGCCTCCGCGTACTCCTCCGCCAGCACCACGCCAGCGTTCGCGCCGCTGCCGCCGCCTCCGTACGTGGGAGAGCCACCTGCGAGCGGATTCGCACCGTATCCTGTCACTTCTGCTCCTATTGTATCCGTGTCAAATGATAAAATTAAACTGCTACGCTTGTATAGACGTGTCTATAAGCGACGGTTACCCCTTTCCATCAGGTGGGCCGTTAGTTTGTTTGCCATTATAAGTTTTATAAAGAAAATGTGGCTCTGTGTTTGAGGGATGGAATATTATTGCCAGGAACTGTGTGCCAAGACTGAATAGTATCACAATGATCGAAAGCGTGCGAGGAATACTTCTTCGACTGTAAGTTTTTATGTGCTACAGTGACCACTTATCAGGACACAGAAAATTTATTTTTATATTTTACAATATTTAATAGTGTAAATCTTGAGGGAGAACTCAGGGTCTCCAAGAACGACTCTAATATTAATACAAATTAAGAGATCGACTGCATAATCTGCAAGGGCCTCAGCATAAAGATAAATATAAAAAAAAACCGTTTGATTTGTAAGTTAACTAACTTTTAAACAAAACAAAGTGTAGAATCTCGTATTGTTGCAACTATGCGCATAGTAAAGTGGATGGTAAATACCTGCGCTAGAACTCCATATCTGTGGCTGCGCTGCGAGCTCAGTTCCGTTGCCAAAGTAAGACGAACCAGCGGGGTACGCGCACCGTCCGTACACCGCGCCGCCGCCTCCACCGCCGCCACCGCTACGCATAACACAACACGTGTCATAACCCATAACACAACATCAACATAATGGTAATAAATATATTTATATTTAGAAGACAAAGGTACAGTATGATAAAAAATGTATATAAAATATTGATATTTTGTTTACTTAATTAATAAATAATTAGATGAAAGGTTACATTAACTCGCTATAAACATGCATTTGTTCGATTTTTAAAGTTCCGTGCCTCGAAAGGAAAAACAAAATCCTTATCATCACTTAGAATCATTTTGTTGGCCGTCTGTGTGCCCATCTGACTATCCGTCTATCAAAATCCCTTTTTATCAAGTATGCGTAGAGGTACTAAACTGAAATGAATATCAAAAACTCAAGTCTACAATCGCTTGAAGCTGTGAAACAACCAACTCCAAACGTAATTTTATCAAATTTATATTCAGTAAGTTTAAATATGTACTAAGTTTAATATATAAACAATAATATGTACATTCCACACATGCATCATTTTTGTCAAGCAGAGGTGCGTGCTCCTTTGCCACAACACACATGCGGTATTTTCCGATAAAATTAAAATGACAATTATATTTTATTCATAGACTTTTGCAAAACATCGCTGCGCGTGTTACTAATGTAAGCCATTCGGAAATATATCATAACCAATAGAAAAGAATTCCTTCTGTACGTGCGTAAGTTTTATACCTATTGGTTCATAGGCGATCGACATCGTTACTCCGCACCCACGTACAGTCGCGTGCAATCATTATGGTCATTGTATTGAAAAATAAGATTGTCAACATCATCATTATATTAGGCTTTAACTGTCCACTGCTGTACATAAATATCCCCTTGAGGGGTTTTGCCACGCTTGGCAAACGGATTGGCAACCGCTGTTAGGCTTTAGAGATGTTTTAAGAGAGTCGCCTCTTACGACACCCACGGGAAAGGAAGGAGTGGACTGTTCTACGCCGGGACCACACGGGAAAAGATTTTGTTTCACAAAAAAACCTGTGGCAAAACTACTAAATAAGTGGTTTTTAAAAACTAAACTATTGAATCGATTTTCCATAGGATCAATTTGAATTGTATATCCTTTCAGATAAAAAAAAGAAATTTCCAATTTATTTTATAACTAACGGAGTTATGTGGTAATAAAGTAAAATAACAACCGAATTTAGTCTTATTTATTAACAGAATTATTCAACCTCTATTAAATAATATGTTGATACCAGAAATAACTTCTTGGACTAAGTAATCTAAATTCAAACGCCTATATATGGCATGGCAAACGCATAAATGGTCATAACATTGATGATGATGGCTCTATGGGAAAATTCAATAATTTATGGTAAAAACTGTACTCAAAACCTTTGTACATAATCACAGGCTATTTTATGCAATTTAAAACGAAAATATACGGACATGGACTGTAAAGATTCATATAATTCGAGGGATGAGAAGGTTGAAGTAACAATTAATAAGTCAGGTTCTCGGGGAATTGATAGGAATAGGATCCAATACGAGGAAGTGGCTCAACCAACTAATTACTGGAATGGATGGAATGATAAATTCAAAATATTTTGTGAGAAGCCGAACAAAAATGGCGTACGACCAATCCTTGTGGCAGTCTATGGAAATATTTACGTTTACCAATAGAATGATGAAATGTTGACGTTGATTTACCAGAGGGAAATGTTGTACAAGTCGTTTGCTTGAGTACTTCTGTTCCATTTATGTTTTTACCGTGAAACAGTTATGTTTACATGGCTGTGTTTTGGTTTGAAGGGTAGAATATGGCAGTGAATTTACAGGGTACAGAGACATAACATCTTTACTCCTCAGGAATGGCAACGCTTGGAAGGAATCATGGGCGAAACAGTATACTCTGTTATGCCCATAGTACTGCTCATATCTATAGACGACGGTTAACATTTTCCATCAGGTAAGCCGTCGGCTTGATTGCATTTCTAAGTTGCATAAAAAAAATTATATTAATTTAGTTATGAGGAAACAACTTCGTAGTCGATCAACGTATGCCTCAATGTACGTGACATTACAGTTCTGATCTTGTTTCCACCGCGCCACGGCCGGCCGTGAGTGTATAGCCACTACGCAACACAATCTCGAATATGAACGCAACATATCCACGTATGAGTGCCTATCGCTCTGTTACCATTACCACATCTTAATTAGGAAAGTAATTAAGAATACGTGACACTCGACCGAACGAATTATTGTGTTGAAAACTCTATAGATATCGAGAGGAGCACACTTTTGTATTTAAAAATAACCAACGTACTGATACCACGAGTATACTAATCATGTCAGGACGGTGCCCTTCAATCTACAGTCTTTAGCCCATACATGAGTCTTGGGCTCATTAGATAATGACTTTTTACTGAAATACGAAGCAAATGACTTATTTTTTAAATTATTTATGAAGATATATTTACAATAATCGGAATTTTGGTTCGACATCAGATAGACGTTTTAATGCACACTGCTAAACACAAACCTCCCCCTTGGTGGGGTTTTGCCAGTAGTTGCCACACTTGGTCGGCGGGTTGCCAACTGTAATCAGGCTTTAGAGATGTTTTAAGAGGGACGCTACTGCCTATCCCTCGTTCTCCTTTAGTCGTCTCTTACGACACCCACGGGAAAGGAAGAGGTGGCCTACTCTGTGTCAGGACCTCACCATCAAACACGTACAGAAAAGTGCTAAAGATAAATTATAATAATGCTGATCAAATGGTACGAAGGACAAAACTTCCTGTTGTGTGATTCGTAGCATTCAGACAAGTTACGATTTCGTGTGTTACAAGTTGATATTCTGTCTTCTATTTAGACGAACGATTGCCTTCATATTTCAACTGCGCAGGCTTGGGAAAATGATTGAAAATACATAGTTTATTTTAGGAGAATGCAGGATGCGTTCGCTATCGTGTCGAGTGAATTCAGTAGTCGTCACCGCGACTCGTCGCGGAACATTTACATAATTTTGAATGCGCTACAGAGGCACGATATTATTATGTGGTGTATGGTTAAGTGGAGCGAGCGAGCGGAGGCTAATGGCTCGGAACGTCTCGGAAGTAGCGCTCGTTATCGGGACCGTCACCGCCGCCCCCGGCCCCCGGCCCCCGGCCCCCGGCCGCCTCCACTCCACCATCGCCCTCGACCCGCTTGCATTCATTAACCGCTAGCACCGCTACGCGTTACCCGTTCACCAGTGCAACACTATACGCTGATGATATGTCAATTTAGACAAACCCGTTCAGATAAACGTAAATTGGTAGACACATTTAGTTACCATTAAACTGGCTCCACTCTTTATGTTCGTGTACCTACTGTTTGAGAGTAGCGACACGCGAATTACAAACATCGTATCTCGGGAGATAAGGAGCGCTGTCTAGCCACCACGAGTCACGAGACTCCCGTATCGTGGAGTGAGAATACGGAAATTAGATATCGAATTAACTTCCCTGAATTGCTGTATCGATGAGACGACGGCTTAGTCACGTTCAGGTGACCCGTTGCTACTTATGGCTAGGAAACCTGAGACGTCTGTCCATACTAGTGAGTAGGTAAATTTACAATTGATCACACGTCCCACTATCGGTACGATATTTATAGAGCAAGAGTCCGCAACAACCAGACCTTTATGAAGCAGTAAGTTTCTCCGTGCATGCCCCTTACACAGGTCAGGACAATCAGAAAGTGTGTAGTTTAGACCATCGTGGTTTTAGCAGGTAACAGGTCATAAAGATATGTAAAATTACTTCCCAAAATTTTCAAAGTATAAAGTGCAATTTTTTTATATTGTCTTTGGGATAATATCAGAAATCTTTGCCATTGCCGGGATCACATCCCGGCATATAATAGGATACCCCTTCCTTTCCCGTGGATGTCGTTGTCGTTGTGGATCGAAGGGTGGGGTACCTTTCAACCCGCAATTGCCATGCTAATACAGTTAGTTGCTTTATTTACCTGGTTTCTGCTCTCTGGCTCGATTGTTTATCTAACGTCATTGTTTGTTATTTCCTATAGTAAATAAGTTTGACTGAAAATCAGACGATTACTTAAACGCCGTTCGACAATTATTTCTTTCAGGGAGATAAGAAATAATATGGTTACTGTTTTTTTTTATTATTATTATTATATACTAACCCGTCTGACAAGCGTGGCAACTACGGGCAAAGCTCTCCTTGTCGGGAAGGCCTATGTTCAGCAGAGGCCAGTTGGCTGATATATTAATAAAAAAATATAGTACGACACTTGACAACGCTATCCTGAGTGATCACAGAGACGACATGGTCCATGAATGCGATAATAATAAAAATTTGTGATAACAATACATAATCTTCTGTTATTGTAAACTATAAAAAATGATATCGTAACTTGAATTGTACAATGATAGTCAATTTATTATCTAACTAAAATCATGACCTGACACAAAAATGTAAACTTTGACGGACTTGTGGTGCAACACATTTAACAATTTTCCTGGTTCTGTAGTTGAAACTGAAGAACTCTAAAATTAACGTAAATAATAAAACACCGGATGAGTCAACGGCTTTATTTGCCTCGGCGCGGCGGTTCGCTTGTAACGATGCTCGGTCGATATTCACGCTCCTACGACGCAGTAAAAAGTATACTTGTAGCACCAGGTACGCGCGCGCAACCCGCATCCAACATGGTACGTTACGTTATTACAAGTATATCACCCGCAGGGGACGAGCCTAATGTGGTCAGCACGGGGCAGCAGACGGGGCGCACGTGCCCGGAACACCACCCAGCGCGACTGCTCACCGCCGCCCACGTCACTTGTGTCCGATCAAAAAACCACAAGCACAATAGCGAATGTGTGCGAAATATGAAACAAACTGGCAGCCGCTCCCGTGGGACTTCTCACTGTCAGTACTCGTATTGCAATGCGATCCAAACTATTATTTTTCAACATCCGTTTGTAATTGTTATATAGAAGACATTAGCAAAATTTGTTGTTTGTTAAATATTGAAACAAGA